GAGAGAGAGAGAGAGAGAGAGAGAGAGAGATTATATAAAATATATACAGTGTTTGACTGTACTATATATTAGGATAAAACTATGCATCCATTAAAGCAATACTATTACCGAAATAGCGTTGGGTTTAAGCCTAATGTGATTATTAATGTGATTATAGAAAGAGATGTTATTTCATGTTATAAATCACATAATGCTCTCAAATAACAGCATTTCTAATGAGAAGACAATTCTCTCTTAATTTATGCACTTAACCCAAACACTCATAAAAAATGTTTTTCATTTGAATATTATGTTAAAGTAATAACTTATTAGTTATTAGTACCGAACCGAACCCACAGTTTATATTTGGCGTTATGTTTGTGTTGGCATTAAATCTCAAAATGAATTATATTTTTTTCATAAGAAACAAAACCCGTGAATACGTGGCCTCAAGTGCTTTCCCATCGACTCATTATTTAGCATATAATTACATACTATCCTCTCAAATAGCATTAGAAATATTGTTCAAACGAATTATGAATTATATAAACTTATCTAAAACATGTCTAATACCATTGTTTATTACTTACTTCTCATGTTATGTATGTTTAAGTGTTTGCCACAAATTGTAAAACAATTTGAATCATATGTTAGGGAAACACATCTCATCTCTCATATCCACTAAAACTTATTACTAATTACGAGCCCTAAGAGTGAGAAGAGTCGCACGTTTTGCTCTTTAGTACAACAGATAATACAAAATCATTATAAACTGATGTTCAGTACATGTGACTCAATGGGCTCTAAGCAAAAGCCAGGTGTGAAAGGAACCGATGGCTAACTGTATGAAAGACTATTAAAAATCCACTTTTAGTACTACTATTGAAGTCAAAAGACTTACGAATTTCTAAATTAGAGGAAAAATCGCCCCAAAGAAAGCTTTTCGGAGATAATTAGTGAAAAATATAAAGTCACGCAAAAACCTCTATTAATTGGATTATATGACACTCAATCACCTAATTATGATCTCAATTCGTTACCTATTAATTATGACATCGAAAACACAAAATATAAATTAACTTTTCCCCAATTTTTCATTATTTTACTCAATAATTATAAAATGTATTTTCATTTTTATTTATTCATTAGTTCTAAGTAATAAGATTTGCATTAATTGAAAAATTTAAAGCTAATTATCGAAAACAGCTTTATTTTTCAAAGATTAAATATTTTTGTATTTAATTATAATTTACTTAATTAGAGAAAATCAGTTATATAAAATTAATTTAATTGGAATTTGTTTAAAATCCAAAATTATTCATATATAATTTGTTTTTATAAAAATAACCCATCAATATATCCTATAATGACTATTAGAAAATAATATGCTTTTAATTTATTAATTTTGATTAATATATTAAAATACATAGTAACTTAACAAAAACATTTATTTGACAAATGCATTGAATTAGAAAAATCAATATTCAGTATAAAGGTTTAGTTTTTACTTTTAATCAGTTTAGTTTAAAAATAATAACTTTATTACATACAAATAAATATTTATTCTAGAAGCTGTTTTATCAATGATACAATTTATTTGAAAAATAATAAACATAATTTAAAATGTTTTGTTGCTTTGTTTGTTTGGGAATTAGTTTCTCAAACTCTTAGACTATAGTATAGTCACTATACAGTGAACATAATATTATGTCCCATACATTATATTATTATCAAAAGTTAGTTATTATCTGAAGAACTTTATTAGGAGTACAAAGTTTTAGACTAATTTACAGTTGAAATCTCGTTAATTATATCTTAAGCTTAATTTATATATGGCCTCAAAAAGTTGAAGAACTCATAAATAATTGACAACTTTTTAGACAAATGTTGATAAGAATGGTTGATAACTAACTATATTTAGCATTTGGCTAATGATTATAGCGATCGGAGACTCGGCTTTGTTTGTGCTATTCTGCGACACCGAAACAAAATTATTATCATGATTATTATTATGATTATTAAATATATACTGCATTTGAATATTAATTTAATAATAAGAACTCATTTATACGACACTGACTGACAGCTGCAAACATACATCAGACCCTCTATTCACAAGACATTCACGATTAGCATAATTGACGTGAAACTAAGAAATACTATGCAATCCAACTTATTATTATACTTGGCTTACAGTTTTGCATATTTAATATTTTCAAACACTCATCATCTCTTGGACTGCATCTCAATTGCAATGCCGTCCCAAACAAGACTTACCAACACTTGAGTCCTGCAATTAATTCTATATTATATACTGTACAGGGTATCAGTTCAATACATTATACTATATTTCATATTATGAATATGAATACTACTTTTCACATCAAAGGAAGCAATTTATTTTATTTTTATTTCGCTGTTACTTTATTAGAAAACAAATTATTTATTAATTTATGCCAAATTATTTCATAATTAATGTCTTAATTAGACTTCCATTAGGTTAGTGTTTGTAATGTTTTTAGAAACACTCGATATTTATTAAGTTCTTTAGTTTATTATTATAAAACAAATCAACATTTGTATTATGTTTTGTCATTTTTATTTAAATCAATACAAAAGCTAATTCTATAGCACTTAGAGTTGTTGAATGGATGTAAAAATTGATATTTTATGCAATACTTCGGTGACTCTTATTAAGCCAGAAGTAGTGTAGTATTGGTTGAAAAGTGAGCACAACTTTTCTATCGATTAAAAGACATTATAAGACATGTTTGACAAACACACAAACCATATAATTAATAAATGATCAAAATGGAAATAATAGTAGACTTTCTTATGTTTCATAGTTTAGTGAAAATGCAATAATAAGTTTGCGAACAAAAACAAAACTAATCAATCATTCATTTCAATTATATTGTCGTCTTTTTTGATGCAATGATAGAGTAGTTGTGTTTTAGTTATAATGTATTTATCGGAGTCTAAGCAGAAACGCGTGACAAACAACCAAATTGTTGTCACTGTTGTTGGTGTCGGTGCTGTCGGGTGTTGTGCCCCTTGTGTCGACACCATTAGCTTTCTCTCCGCAAAATGATATATAAGTTAAATGAAAGGTATATCGACTTTACTTAATGGAAAGGGGCCTCAAATGGACAAAAGTTATAAAAGAGCGACTAATTTGTCTTAAAAGTGATGTTTTTGGTGATAGACTTTTTGCAATGCTATCCAAATGTATAACACGTTTGCACTAATTGTCATAAATTAACTTTTTTGTTGTCCAGCAGTTATAGCCATATATCAAACTCAGAGCCCGTAATAACGAAAAGCCAATTCAAGCAATAGCTCTGATTATTGGATGTAAAGACAAGTACTGTATCTCTGTTTATATACGGTATGTATGGCTTTCCAACTGAGCGGAAGTTCTTTGTAAAAGGTTTGACATTAAAAAAGCGTTACCTCTCCTGTGATACTGACATTTAATTATTTTTAATAGACTTCCACACAAACCCTGGTCTCTACCGACAGCTAACTGTGCAATGAAGGCATTGGATGGCTATGGCTATGGCTATGGCTATGGCTATATCTATGGTAGGCTATGGATGCACGCTTCTCATCAATTGTATGCACACGGATATACGTTTGGCCCCTACATTCAAAAGCTATTTATTACACCCTATACTAAGGCTGTCCACAGAAACACAACTCCGAAATGAATAAAAAAAAGAAAATATATAATTCACATAACATTTAAACCATTTATTATATTTAAATGCATTTCAAAGTATACTTCAATTATTTTCATGTGAGAAAACAGTGTTTAGAATCGTTTGCATTAAATACTAATAAAACTTATAATATATTATATAATATAATGTAATATAATGTACACAAATAGAGATAACTTATTCGGTCACTGCTTTATAAACAGTTAGTGACCGCACATCTCACTGAAAAGCAATTGTTATTTATATAACAATTACTCAAATTATCATTTTTTATATAAAAGTGTAAAGCAATTGACAAGTTTTTAAAACATTCGTACATTATTTAATGTGTAATGAGAAGTAATAACAATTTTCTAAACACTTTAGCTAAATAATTACAAGAATATAATAATTTTTATAATATAAATTTAAATAATGTATATTGTTTTGTTTTAAACAATGTAATTTATACAAATATGTTTTGTAAGGGATTCTCTTTTATTGTTTTATATTTGATATAATTTAACCGATCTTGATACAATCATCTCTAGGATTAAACCACTCCCAATCAATTTATAGCATTTAATAATTAATAATCAAATGGTTGTCTATTGAATTATTGAAAAGTTTTCGTATTAATAAAATCAATAATATTCTTACATTGCATTACAAACACATGCTTTGATTGAACGCAAGTGTTAAGTGCCGCGGAATACTGAGAGGTCCTATAAATGCAATTATAATGTTTAGTAATGAGAAAAGTGTTGTACAGAGTATAGCCTCCGGGGCTGACATTGAGAGCGGTCTCTCATCTAAAGATGTTTTGTTTTCGCTTCTGAAAGAATCGTTAAATCCTTAATAACTGACACCATTTGCTGCTAATTATTGTTTCGGTTTTTCTTGTTATTACTGCTAAACATAAGTATAAAAAATGTTCAAAATACTTATTATAAGCAATAAAAGTGTTGGCAATTGAAAGCAATTTCATAAGAAATCAAAACGTCTGTCGGCTTGTCGTGTCGTTTATTGACTGCTATTTCAGCGATAATTTATTTTTAAAATAAGTCCATTGAATGACAAACATTTGCAGTGTTAGCGTTTCCCTCATTTATCATATTTGCATAAATATGACATATTATTGATTTTGATTTTATTTTGTTGCTAATAAAATACATTAAGAAAATTGAAGTCATTATGCTTTCTGATTTGAATAATAACTCAAGTTTTTATAGTTTAAGAATGAGATCTCAAAATAGACTACACTTTGAGAATAAATAAATCAAATTTGAAATTTGACATAAAATACATTTGTTACTAATGTATTAACTATTATACGAATCATAAAATCTGATTAATTTCTCGATAAAATTTGTAATAACAAAATAGATTTATAATAAAATAAGTAATTATTTGTTTGCAGTTATTTTCCTACAGAAATGGTGTGAAACTAGAATTAAAGGAAAACCAAATTCAATGCCTTTTTTCTATTATTTCAATTTTGACTAATTTCTAGTTAAATGGATTGAAACGGAATTTGAAAATAAAGTAATAAAATATTAGAAAATGTGAAGAGAATAGACATGTCATGAATATTAATCATATTGTAAGCCATGCGTTGACTTCTATGGCAAACATTAGACAAGAATTATATACTAAGAAAGTGTTGGAAAATACATTTTGAGGTCAATGCTATTCATACCTATTCACTGTTATTTCAATTCACTAAATAATACATTTGAATGTTATTTTAATTTATAAATACAATAGAAAACAAATGAATTTTTAGAGTAAAATTCATTTAGATATTATTATGAAATTTTTGTTTTTGTGATTCAAAAATGGCATGAAAATGTAATTTAATTGATTGAGTAAATTGTGTTAAAGCAATGAAAAGGTGAGTTTAACTAAAAACACATTTTATATCAATTTGCTTTTGGAATAATTAATGTTTGCCTAAAATAATGCTTAATTGAAATAATCTATTTTATTGGCTCAAAACAATTATTATATGATATGATATACTAATATTTTAATGCTTAAAAAGTTGGTCATATCATAAACAGGTATTAATATTAGAAATCCAAATGAATGGCTAATATGAAGGCAATAATTGTAATGTAATTGAGGTCCACATCACGTCTACTCTATGAACAATAGAGTACACGAATAATTGCAGCTATGGTTAGGCTATCACTTGTGTTATAATCTCTTTTATTGTTACCATTTCTGTACTTTTGTTTCGACATTTATTTTTATTTTTATTACTTTTAGTGTTATTGCAGTCAATGCTATGGACTGTGCAGTCGTTGTCAAACACTTGAGTTGATGTTTTGAATACACAATTCATTTCTCTTCTTTATTTTTGTCGACAATTGTTTTAATGATATTTTAAATCTCTTTTACCTATACTTTAATGTCTCACAAGACTGGAGAGAGAGAGAGAGAGAGAGAGAGAGAGAGAGAGACGAGTGAAATGAAATTGAGAAATGAAATGATGATAACCACTGGTTATGAGTGAGGATATGATGAGGGCATATGAGGCACCGGTAGATTGAAAGGTGTAGTCAAATGGTGTGATTGTTTATGTGAGAGCTGTCTGTCCTGTATTACAATTGATGCAAATTATTTGGTGTCATATAATTGATATGAGTTTGCTTTCTATAATAAAAGAGCCAAATGTGAGCCCATCTGTAATACCATACCTGCGCTCCGATGCCATGAAGTGTTGGTAAATGTAATCTAAAGACTCTTTTATTATGCATCAAAAATGCCAAACACGTCCATAAATTGTGCTAATTTGTACCCAAGCCATGGACAGGTAGGTCTGTATGATCATCTCTATCACTATGAACTGTATTCACTGGTGAGGCAGACACTGAATACAAGCAAACAGAGCACAGGTATGGTATGGGCGCAGACACGCAGATCTCTCATTAGCCGCGACTATGAGCTCATTATAAGCGCTCTTTTCTCTCACTCTTCTCATTAAGAGATCGTATTTTTGGGCAAATAATTAAACGGAACTATAATTTATATTTTGTTGTATTTTGCCGTTTATTTTGTCCTCAAATCGACGTAATGGACATTTAGGGTCTAATGTAATGCCAGACCATCTGAATCATCATTACATATATTAGACACCAGAAGAATATCAAATCTTTTATTCATACAAATTTATGAGCCATTCATTATAAACACATTTTTTGATTATTTAAATCCATTTCTCATATGCAGTAGATTTTCTCTGTATTATTCAAATGTTAAGTACTTTTAAAGTTCAGATTTATAAGAGACTTTCAAGTGTTTGTAAATTCAAAGGTTTCTAAACATTAAAAGCTTTAAAACTCAAATAAACATTTAGATTTTCACAAAATTAAACAATTTCGTTGCAATCATTGTAATAATAGCTGGAAATAGTGTATAATAATTGAAATAAAGACTAATTTATGGCACAATTTTTCAATTTGAAAACTTATGTTTGCTATAAGAATATCAGTGAATACAGTAAATAGTTTCCATAAATCATATTTAAGTCTCAATACATAAACATTTATTTAATTTAATGCGATTCACGTCGATTCAGATGAAAAGATTGTCTCACAATTAATGTCAAATTACTGAAACATTAAAACAGTTTTCTTTCTTTTTGAAAACACATTAAGTGTTATATTTAGTCAATACTTGCAGTATATTATAATATACAGAGTATTTAGTCAATTCAGTGTATGTCTGGCCTAACAATAACTACCAATTCAGGGAACTTCTGGTGAGAAATTACAAAAAATAACATTCATTTATATCTTATAACAGACTTCTAGTTTGCAATGGTTTTTGATAAATTATTCAAAATTTTTTTTAAAAATTGATACAAAATCCATTCAATGAATATCTAGTACTTAATTAATTTTAGTTTTAGATAAACGATTTTTTTATTTTCCGTTTAATTGTGCATTTTATTTTATCTTAAAAATATTAATTTAATATTCAATTTATTAAACTTCTAATAAATAAATTATATTTTATTAATATTCAAAACATAGATATTTATTTTATGCATAGATTGGATACTTTTCTTATTTCTAATTTTTTAAATAAATTCTTTGATAACTCTATTAAACAAGTTTTTTTATAACAAACAATTTATTTGTAATCAAAGTGTAATTAATATGTCAGACAAAAAGGGTTCAATAAAGTTTTATTTTTAAAATTAAAAAAGAGAGTTAACCAAAACTACAAATTATCCAAATCTTGAATGCAGTCATTTTAGTGATAAATTGAGTAAAACATGATTTGATAAACTGTTAGTTCACTCCATACTAAACGAGTTTATATTGAAAAACAAGAAAAAGCTGCGATAATAGCGTTACATATAATGGACAGAAGATTAATAAATGTTGCGATCATAAGTCTATTGGACTAAACATTTATGAGTGTTTTACAACTTTCTTCATACGAGAGACTGACTCACAAAATGATTATCCATTTGCACTGAAAGTCTGGCCGCGGGTTATGCTCTGACGACATGAGTTAACACGAGTGAAGAACTACTTTATTATTAAAGAGCGCTAAACGTGTACTAAATTGAAGGCAGGGCTACAGTTCAAGACATAGCCATACATTTGAATGACTACTAAAAACGCCGATTTGTACACCACTTCAATATTTGGCGACTACTGACGGACTGGCAGTTGATATTAGATTTGAAGCAATAAATGGTTTGATGTGTCAAATGAAATCTGGTTATGATTTTGCCAAACGGCGGCTCTTTGTGTCACACCTTTAATCCGTGAAACGTCTGAACGCCCTTTTCTACCATAATATTGCCATTCATTTCATTAGATCTCCTTTCGGACAGCTTTTGCTGAAAGAACCCATCTTTGCTGAAATGATATGTATTTGAAAATTAGTGGGAATTTGTTTCCACACATAAAACCCTATTATAAGCTATTAAACACATTAAGAACCTCTCCCTTAGCATAACAATCATAAATATATATGTTTTTAATAGTATATTAGCTGAGTTATTATTATTTTTAGACAACAATAGATAAATACAGTTCCCAAATGGAGATCCATTTCTAAACTGTTATCAAATGCTCTTTCATGGGTCTCTCAAATATTATAATAAATTTCAAATTCATCTCAAAAGGAAATAAACTTTGAATAAAAATCACTTTTCTTTTCTTCGGAAAATTTCATTCATTTGATTTCATTCAATAGAAACTTATAATAAAATTCACAAAACATTCAACAGATTAGTATTTCAGATAATAATTAAATGATACGTTAAGAAAATTAATGAAAATTTGTTTTTGAATTAACTTTTAGAAGTGTGTCATGTATTACACTAATCGATGGATTCGTTTCACAATCACTGAGAGTATGAAACACAGAGAAACCGAAAACATTTAATTCTTTATTGAAATTAAGATTGTGTTAAAAAAAATTTGACACCATTTTGTCAAATTTTATTTCAGTTTAAGTATTCTGTAGTTTAAAATACTAATTGACTCATTAAAAATGACGTTAAATACAATAATTTAATATTAATATATATATATATTTAAATATTTATGGGTTCAAACAGAGTTAAACAGAGATTTTAAAATTTTAAATCACCAAATTATACCTAGTCTCGTAATCACAATTTAAAATGTTTACAAAAATTCTAATACTGTATGCTCTTAATTTTCTTTACTTTTAACTATTTTTATATTTAAATATTTAAAATTCGATACAATTTACAGAATTAAAATACTCATTATATAAATCTTGAAAGCATTTGAAAGCAAACCTTAATTACAAAACTTGTAAATTAACCAAACTTTTATGAGAACTTGATTTTATTTTATATAAATGAGTGCAAAATAGATTTAAAACTTGTAAATTAGTTATTTAGAGCTTTACTGATTTTGCCATTAGTTTTTATTTTCATTATGTTTGTTGTATGCATGTAAAATACAATCACCTAGCACACTGATAGTTTGTTATACTATTTTTATACTACGGAACTCTACACTTATCAAGTACATTTTGAAGACATGTTACTTTACAAGCTAATACTAAATCTTAATTAAATATTAGAGATCATTATTTTAGTATTCAAAAATGTTGACATAAAAAATCATAAAAGTATATAAATTATTTACATATAAATTGCAATCGATATAATTAATAAATAAGTTTTATACTGTATTATAATTAAATGCAATTCATTGGCAATGGGAAACTTAGACCAAATAATTTTAAAGCCTTTATTACCTGTAAAATATCAATCTTTATTGAATGAGAAAGTAATCATACTTATTAAATTAAACATATAACTGATAAAAAGTTATGTAAACATTTATAATAAAAAGTTGTTTATAAAAATTAAATTTATATGAACTTTAAAACAACTAAAAAATTGAAATTTCATTACATAACAAAAAATGTGTTAATATTAAGGCAATGAAAATGTGAAGACCCAGGTCCTATTCTTAGCATCTAATCTTAATTGAATTGGTGTTTTGGTTTATATGATTACAATGGCTTTTCCTCTCATATAAATAATAAGTACAATATTACTGTCAGATATTACATTTGAAATAACATCTCATGTTTGAACATTGCATCTAGCTAAATATTGGACTAAAGTTACAAATCATAGATTTGTATAAAACAAATGATATACCAGTAACACAATATTTAAACTTATTAAGTGAACGCACTCATTTTGAAAACAATTAATTGGTTTAAAAAGAAATACATTCATGAACTTCTAGTTACAAATGTGCAATTGATTCATGTGTTCATTAACCACACCATCAATTCCTGTTGATATCACTATAAGTATGTCATATATTAAGATATTAGTGATAGGATTGAATACTACAGTAATAAATGTGCTTTCATTGGGTTTAAAGCAAATAATTTATTCATAATTTAAAATATCGTATAAAATATGTATTCATTGAGTGAATCGTTAATCAATGGATTCATTGCTCACAAAAGAATTTGTTTTTGCATTCATTTCAATGAATTCACAATTTTGGGGACAAATTGTAATACAAAAAGAGTCAACAATTGAGTGAATGGTTGCCGAAGAGACAGATCCGACGAGTGATGTCTTGTATGATATCATCCGCCGTGAAGAGTCGATATGAAGAGCACCCGATCATTGGGTTGGAGGACATAGTGGTGTTGTCCCAACAGATCCCAATCCACTTCGTTGATGAGCACCAGAATCCCGGGCCTAACGGTGTCTCCGCTCACAAACAGTTCCGGTCTCTCCTTCAGGTGATTAGTCTTCAGGCAATCAATCAATTGCTTTAAATCGCATGTCTTGTGGTCACTCGTGTCCAGACTGACCACCAATTGTCTGGTGTTCCCAAACAGCAGTTCCGTCCCTCCGCTCAGTTNAATTGTCTGGTGTTCCCAAACAGCAGTTCCGTCCCTCCGCTCAGTTCGACCATCACTTGCATCGACTGCTCCGATGAAGACATACTTCTTGTGTCCACTTGTGGTGACAATCGCACCGATCGTCCGATTGATTGCAAATACACTTCAAATCAATTGACGTTTTGTTTACAATTTGTGCCCAAAATGACCACAAATTACGTCCAATGAGTGGTCATCACATCAACGGTTCACTTGGTTTTTGTCACCATTTCTGCACTTTTTCAATGGTTTTGTCTTTTATTTATCATTTCATTCATTGAATTATCTTTTTATTTAGGCTTTAATTATACGAATTAGTTGTATTTCACATGAAATTGAATTATTAAATGATATTTGAATTTATGTGTCAATACAACAACAGATGGCAATCCTATCACTAAGTGTGAAATCAAATCATTTTTGAATCATTTATTTATCGCACAAAAGATGGCATATCTGTAGTCAAAGACATACAAGAATTCACAGAATTTAAGACTTGTTACAAGAATTGCTATTTTATTCGTATAAATGGCAATTTAATCGCTAGAAAACCATGCTCAATCTAATAATCATATGATTAGTTTGCTTGTTTTGTTTCCATGTTAAGTAAGTTATATTTTATTTTAATTTTGGTTTTATTTATTATATTACAGTATGTTATTTGAACATGGCCAGATATAGAAATATAAACTTCTAATTAAAATTAACTAACAAGTAAGATTTTAATTTTATTGATTTATTATAAATAAAAATAGTACTGTATTCCATTAATATAATTTATTAATACAGGATTTGTAAGTATTGATGTAAACAGGGTCAATATTGATGTTACAGTAGTTGTACTATAAATATTATTAGCTATTGACTACAATTTATATTATATTTACTAATTTGCAAATGTTTTGTAACTGTTTAATGAATTGAATATTTATTAAACTCGCTTTTTATTGTGCATAAATTTTATGAATATTAATATTTTGACAAAATATGAATTTAATAAGCATAGACTGATTGTGGGAACGGTATGTGAGGGCTGACAGAGGCTACGGACGGTGCAGTGCCTTCAGTGGCATCGAGTGTCGGTGCAGTCATTCATCTCTCGGTTCATTCAATTTGGTATTAATTTTCATTTAAGGCAAAAGCACTCATAAGTTATACATTTTTACTGCTTTTTATCAAAACTAATTGCTGTGCGCTTAGCATCGGCACAAACGCTGAGAAATGAAAACACTAAACATTATCAAAGGGAAGGGATCAGTATAGCTGTCGGGTCTGATCACAAGCAAATCAACCAAATCTTTCATCCATTGTTAGGGATGGGGTCTCCGGAGAAATTACTGTTATATTCAGTGCATGTGT